GCTTATTTCTCTCTACAATTTCCTGTCTCACAATGTACTGTTTGTGTCCGGGAAGGGTTCATAGTTTCATAGTTGTCGATTTTCGAAAAAAATCAGTACATGCATATTATTTCCGATTTTTAGTTTATTGTTTTTATGTATTTCATATGAAATGGGTCAGTTTTTTTCTTTAGGGTACTATTTTTCTTACTAAATATTTTTGTGGTTTTGTTTGTTTTCTTTATTTAATAAATGTTTTTATACTTTAATTAGAATAGTTTTTTTACATTTCCAATTACATATTGCTCGTTTGTCCCAGAATATAAATTCTTTAAATTTTTGAGATTAAGATTAAAATATATAATTGATTTAAATATAAAAAGGGCGCACCAAAGAATGGCTGCACGTAGGTGCCAGATACCCCAGGAACGGGCCTGCCTTCACGTCAAATATTTATCTCTTTTGAATCATTTCCTGTTCTAAAAATTTTCGGTGCATATTTTACATTTTAGATTTTTGCTACAGCAACGCCATCTTAAGTCTTCCCTTTTTTAGTAATTTTTTAATGCACGAAGATATTTCTCCTTGCCTCTACACTCCATAATAATAGATGGTTGTTTTATTTTATCTATGGTTGTATATCAATATAGTAATCAAATAATACTATGTACTAATTCTTTTAAATTTAAAAAAATCTGAAAAACTTGAATACACTGAATACAACACAGTGAACTAAAAGTAACTTTATTTCGTTTAAAAAGTATTATTATATTGCTAACTTGTTAATAATATATAATGGTAAAAAGTATACTTTTTACCCCTTAAATTAGTTTTCAAGATATTTCTATTTATAGTGATAACGTAGAACTTTCTGTTCTGTATATAATCAATTTGAAAAACTTATTATTTTATTATCTAAAACGAACAGCAACTTGGAGAAGGGGTTCGTTATTTTATTCAGTGAAGCAATGCTTATTATAACAGCATAAACATGTTGTTCGTATAATATTCAGCCCGGAAAATAAATGAAAATAATGAGTTTTTCTATTTAAATTATATTGAATTTTCATTATACTATGTAATAAAATACAACTGCTATTACAACGGTTTATTTACTGTTAGGGAGACCCAAGGAAGTTTTAGATATTTATATAAGTACCCATGCAGGAATACAGTCGACGATGAACTTGGCAGCAAATGTTTGAGTTAATTTTATGATATATGTAATTAATTTTATTTCTTTTTGCTTTTAAATGTTTCATGAATTTGTTCATGGTTTGTAAGTTGGATATATATGTTTTGAAGTCATGGTTTAATAAGCTGAAAATGATTATGATGATGATGATGACACAAATGCAGGAGTTTTTGCAGGAGTAAAACAATAATGATTTATAATTTTGTATATATTATGTACTAAAATCTTAAAACATAAAAGTCACTTAGACTATATTACATTAAGTATACGAAACCAACAAATTTAGAAATGCAAATGAAAATCGTATTATGCAAAATGCGACTATGAATAATTTGGTAGCTTTTAGAACCTTATTTACGGTGGATTCTAAATCTAGTGGAGTCTAGACAATAAATATAATTTTCTAGCCCTCAGTCAAGGGATGAAAATGGTTCTTTTGCTCCCAAGAAGGAAAAGACAGTTTATAATAGCTGCTATATTTGTATTGTTAAAAAAGTAATAAGAACCACATCTACTTAAGCCATATTTTCGATTATACAGGGTGTTTCAAAAAGCATATGCCATCTCTCGGGGGGAGATTCCTCACATAAAAATAAGATTTATTTTTCATATCAACATAGGTCCGATTCTGCTTTGTTTCATAGCTACGGGGTGTTAAAATCTTAATATGTTTTCGATTTATTATAATTTTCTTCCAATTACTGTTAGGATTTCGAATGCAATTTTGAGGGTAAGAGTTACTATAAATGCAACATATCATCCTATTGCTGCCAAAAGTCACTAACTAACATTTTTCCGAACAACCAAATTCAATCACTAACTATGTTTTGAAGCGGAGAATCGATTGCAAAAGTCATTAACTACGATTTCTGGCTATTTATGTTTTATTTTAATACCGAATAGTTACTAACTATAACATCTTTATGCAATGCAATTTATCTTTAGACGCATTTTTCTCGGAAGTAACAAAAAGTAAGTTAGTGACTTTTGGCAGCAATGGGACGATATTTTAAAGCTAAAAAGTGTTGACCACCAGAGACGTGCATATGGGTTATCACTGGAATATTTTTCTAAAAAAAGTATGTACGCCACTGCTTTTTTTCTCTTGTTAGCGAAATAGTGTAAGCAGTTTAATGCCGATTAAAAGTTATCTCTTGATATTTTGTCGATTTCGGCCTCCTTGACGAGATAAACGCAATTTTATTAATTTGCTTTGATCCAAGTCTAATAGCAACCTTTAAGAGATTTTAATATCATTAATTTGTAAAAGTTTTAAATAAGTACTCATTGATTCCTCATCAAAAAATATAAAAAAAGTTCCTATAACCATGGGTATGCCAATGCATAGTTTTAGAGTTACAGGATGTTACAGGATGATAACTTTTTAAAATTAGGTTTTTGTAATTATTTTGAATACCATCATTTTTTTATTTGAAATTGCTGTAGGTTGGACTAAAGTAATAACAACTAATTGGTAATATAGGTGACTATTTGTAATACAGCCAACTATTGGTAATATTGGTAATATGGTATTAGGTACAATATACGATTTATTAATTTTATCATAATTTTATTAATTATTGTGATTAATAAAATTGTATCCCATTAATGAGTCCGAATTCGACAAAATATCAACACGTAACTTTTAATTGGCATTAAACGGCCTACATAGTTTTGATATCAAAAGAAAAAGTCATTGGCGCACATTTATTTTTGAAAAATATTCCAGTTATAACCCATATGCACGTCCCGGATGAATTTATGGACACTTTATTAGCATTAATATATGTAGCACTTATATAGTAACTTTTACCCTCAAAATTTCATTAGAATCGCTAAAGTACTTGGAAGAAAATTATAACAAATCGAAAGATTATTAAGAATTTAACACCCTGTAGCTACGAAACAAAAGCAGAATAATAGGGCCTATGTTGATATGAAAAATATATCTTATTTTTACATAAGGAATCTCCCCACGAGAGATGGAACAGGTTTTTTTGAAACACCCTGTATATTTAGTGTTAACAACAAAAAATATTGTATTAAAACTTTTATTCAAATATCATTGTAGGTAAGAAAAATAAAACATTTGATAAAAATCAAGACAGAAAATATTCGATAGCCAAATTTCTGAGATGTTTTTCTACCTGCCGAGAGGGCAGTACCAGACATTCATTCAGCGGTTTTAAATTGGTCACTACTTCGATAGGAATTTCGGCTTGTTAAAATAACCTCCGAAGAAAGAGCGTTGTTCGATTCCAAGAAATAGTTTTTCGGCGACTTGGACCATTATAATTAAAAACGGAACCATGAACCATTATTTTCAGCAGTGTCAATAAAATTTGATGGACACTGGAAAGTATAAAAATTCTCTGCATTTTCTGTCTTGTTTATACTGATTTACACTCTTATTATTTTATTTATTGCATTTCTGCAACTACAAACAGAAATTTTACGAGTAACTAAGATAGTATTTATTGAAATGCCCCATGAATTTTGAGGGACACTGAAAAATATAAAAATTCTCAGTATTTTATTACGTATTTTACTTGAGACTGGTTTCTAAATATTTCTTGTACACATTTTCGGTGTAAATTATTGCCTTTTGAAAAAAAATATATGTGTTGTTCATTATTCACGTTGGGGATTTATTTTTAAATTAATGTTAATCGTTAGGCAACCAGTAAACTCACAGAATATCTATTTCTTTTGCATAATTAAAATTGTCACTCTAAATTTTACATAACTAAATTGTCACTCTAAATGGCTGTCTTTTTTAGACAAATGTCACTTGTCTTGTCATTATTCAATTCATTATTCGAATTCTCAGAATGTTGTTAACAAAAGTGTCAGTTTAAAATAAAATTTTAGTCAATCACAATTGTTTATCTCTATCATTTACCGGATTAATAATACAGAAATTACAGTTCAATTACAAACATTCATTATTTATAGTGATTTACAGTAATTTTATTAAAGTCAATAACTTGACTGTTTTTTAAATAAAAAATATTGTAATATTTGAGGGGTGGTTTCACCCTCTTGGAACTGGAATTTCGAAAAATCCCTTCTTATCGAACCTCTACACCCTAGAATCAACCTGTATGCCAAAATTGAGCTTCTTACGTTGAGTGGTTTGAGCAGGATCGTGATTAATCAGTATGTCAGTCACTTAAGGATTTTATATATTAGTATAGATTTGTGTTTTTACCTTTGTTATCTTTGTTATGTTACTTTTGCTTTGTTAATTTTCTTATATTTAAAATGAATTAAAATCATTTCCCAACATAGTTTTTTATTTCCATTTTTCTAGTCTTTTATGAACTGTTGAATTATTGCAGCATTTAAAGTTTTTCGAGATCGAGAAATGTCGAAAAAATTTCTCGATCTCGAAAAATCTCGAAGTAATTTTCTCGATCTCGTCTCGAAAAAAAAATCTCAGTCTCGTCTCGATCTCGTCTCGAAATCGAGACGGGACGAGACGAGAAATCTCGAATTTCGGGAATCTAAAATTGAACTAATCTAATTTCGTGAAACCCTAAATTGTTTTACAAAGAGGTAGCTCTACCTCGAATGGGGCATAGCTGCGGCAACACTGCCGCTCTCACTTTTTCTCTCGCTAGCCCGCGCGTCACGGCCGTCTCGCTTCCGTCATTCAAGGCCGTGTGTCACCCAACGCGCGTAAAGAAGTTTCACTTCAAGTAATGAATTTTGAGACACACTCGAATATATATAACTTCTCTGCATTTTCTTATTAACTCGAAAATAGACCAATAAGGCAGCATTAGAAAAACAACTATTAACTATTTCTGTTTTTTTGTTTCAGATAATGCATAACAGGAAGCCTTAAGCCACGCTTATCACCATGACGTACTACTACAACCAACTCCCGTACTACCTCTTAGTTCTATTTTTCTTTCTCTCAACCAAAGCCGATGATCTTCTAGATCAATACGTGAAACATGTCGAACTAGTCAACAAATTCCGTGATTATGATCATTCGCTCGATCATCACAAGTTTAATAGTGAGAAATCCAGTAAACGTTTAAGGACAAAGAGGGAATCGGATATTGTGTGGACACATTCGGTTGCTTTGGACAGTGAGGGGTTTATTGTGCTGAGATGGCAACCCAGGCACCAAGAGATTTTGTTTAGAATTGAAGCAAAAACTCTGGGTTATATTGGATTGGGGTTCAGCCCGAATGGAGGAATGGAAGGAGCAGATATTGTTATAGGATGGGTGGATGATAAAGATCATAAAGCTATGTTACTGGTAAGACCATTATTGTAATTAATAACAATATTTGAGAATGCTTATTTAAAGTTTTGTATCCTATAGATACTAGTATTGATATGTAACAAAAAATACCTTGCTATATGAAAGATAATATTTCTTTATTACAGTTTTTTCAAACAAAACAAATAACTCGTTTGGCTGAACTTATTTGGTAACTAATGTAATATTTTTTTAAGAAAAAGTTCTTTTAAAAAGTGAAAAAATGCAATACCGCAAGACTCTTGCATGCTTGGTCTTGGTCTCGGCCTTGCTTTTTTTGCAAGACCAGAATACTCGCTAATCACTAGAAACTACGCCAAATGTCGTCGAATCTTAAAGAAAGATTATATTAACAAGGGCTTGTCTACATTTTCCTTATACAGGGTGAGTCTTAAATAAGTGCAAATATTTTCAGGGCTCGTAGATCTCGATTAAATAAAGATATTATCTCTTTACCGTTTTTCAAATAAATCCAAAATAACCGAGTTATTCAAGATTGAAAATAAAAAAAAATGGAATTATTTTGAAAAAAATTTGAGAGCCACCGGATTTTTTCTGTATTTGCATCCCTTTTAGTGCCGTAACAGTGCTAATATCCTTGTAATATCAGAGATTAAGAAATTATACCGTTGTAAAATTTGCGTGAACAGGCAGTTCTAAAAAGTTTTCTAAAATATACAGGAAAATTTAAAAGAAAATGCACGATCTTTTTTTGCGAAAAAAATTCGTAGACGTGTTCCTGTGGTCGAAAAAAAAACCTAAAAATATTTGCACTTATTAAGGACTTAACCTCTATATTTTAGGCGAAAGCAAACCATTGTACATATATACGGGTCAGTTTTAATAAGTGCAAATGTTTTCAGGACTACTATATTTCGACCCCAGAAACATGGTTATGAGGTTTTTTCGCGAAAAAAAACTTTGAAAATTTGGGATTTAAAAAAAAATCGAAATTTTTTTAGTTTTTAGTTAAAAATCGTAATTTCTTGATAATATGGCAACATAGTAGATTAGAAATAAACATAGGTAGTAAAGTAAACCCAGAAAAGACCCAGTGGTTCTCAAAATTCAAGCAAAAAATCATTTTTTTTTGGAAATTTTCAAAATAAAATAACTCGGTTATATTGGATTTACATATTTGAAAAACGGTAAAAAGAAAATATGTTTTTTTTTTATCGAAATCTACCAGCCTTGGCAATATTTGCACTTATTTACTCACCCTGTATGTGGTTAGTCTATCTTTTATACAGGTTGTTAATTTGTTTATTACTCGCGGCAAGAGCTTTATGGTTGAAATATGGCAATCTCGGCCCGCTCGTCGAAAGACGACGCGACGCGACGGGACGAGTCGGCAGCTTAGCTTAGGCAGTGTTGCCATTCTGTCCCCCAATAAGTAACCGTCCAGTTAACAATCTGTATATGTTTTTTTCCAAATAATCTGTGTATTTTTACTGTTAAACTCCAAAATATGGTGGAAACAAACTAAGTAAAAAAGTATTAATTTACATAGCACCTGTTTTTAACAAAACAAAAAAGGTTTTCCAACTTTAATTTTTTAAACGTTATCGAGAAGGATATTTTGTAACAAAATTTTAGAAAAAGTTCCTATATAGTATTAAAATAAAATAGTATGGAGATCTTTGAATCTAAGAGTAGTCTGCTTATAAATATAAAATATCCCGTGAAATATGCACTAATTTACATAACTCGTTACACAGTTTAATCTGCTCTAAACTTCCAAGACTCACGCTATAATTTTAAAAACTCCTTTTTTTCTCAAAAGAACACTTAAAACAAATTTCAAGAAATTATTTTAGTTTGTAAAGGTGCGTTCACACCGGCTGCGCCGCTCCGCGCAAAGAATTTTTTTATCACGTACGGCACTTTTGAAGTGTATTTTTTAGCGTGCACAAAAGTATATGTTAAAAAAATGATTTGCGCGAAGCGGCGCTGCCAGTGTGAACGCACCTTAAGAAAATGTGTATTTGGGAAATATTACTTTGTGACAAAAATTTACCAGAAAAAGTGAATTTTTGATTGGCCAAAAATAAAAAATTATTTCATTCAAAAATTTCTTAAATATCATATATTTGTTTTGCAAATGTTTTTACTATTACTGATACTGAATATTCTTTTTCGAATCCGAAAATACAAAAGATTTAACTCAACAAATGGAAAAGAATCGCCGACCTGTGAATAATTTATGCCGGCTATAAGATACCTTATTCAAGAGAGAGCTCAAAGACACATAGAACGAAACTTGATCACTAACTTTTACAGCGATAGCAAAAACGATTGACAAATACGGAAATATTCGAAACAAGCTTTTGCACAAATACCATTCTCAATATTTCACTCTTTATTTAATTTGTTCCTATTAAGTTAAATTCTTCAGCTTACTGAAGTTAATTAGTGAATAGTTATACTAGTTTAAAATCCAATTAATTTAGTACAAATTACAATTGAATTGATTACATTTCCCTGTGTTTGGTTTAGAAGTAAATATTTAAACACAATGAGATACATTGACAATTGGAGCGTAATAAATTTGGACAGTTCAAAATTTGCATGGGATTTCCTATGTCACTTTGAATGTGGTAGACAATAGCTTTGTTCGGGTTCTTGTTATTACCGATTCTGAACCGTCCTAGAACTCTGCAGCGCATGCGCAAATGAAATAATGTCTTCATATTGCCTTCTGCGCATACGCATCACAGTTCTAGGACGGTTCAGAATCGGTAATAAGAGAAACCCGAAGTAAGCTAATGATTCAGTATTAAAACAAAAAGAATGTTTTTTTCGCACTTCCATTGTCTTTATTTATTTTGCTCACACAACGTTTTGGTCAGAAGACAGATGTTTCACTGACCGTTATCAACTGTTAGGTAATTAATCTAAGTCCTAAAATCACGACTGTTAAAAAAAATTAAAAAAATGCCCATGTTGGATGAACCGATGTACAGAGAGGAAGAATTATTGCTTTCATTGAACAAGGAATGCCCCAAAGAGACGTAGCAGAGTTAGTAGGCGTTATAATGCAAGGTACTTGGAACTAGGAACTCTCAAGAAGAGGCCTAGGCAAAGTCGTCAAAGAGTCACAACTGAACAACAAGACCGCTTTGTGTGCTAAATTGCTAGGATAAATCCTAATGTTTCTCAAGCAGAGCTACAAAGACAACTTAGGGCAACTACAGATGTAAACGTTTCAGTTGAAACCATAAGAAAAAGGTTTCGTGCTGGAGGGTTATACAGTAGGAGAGAGTTACGGGTCCCACAGTTATCTCGACAAAATAAAATTGACCGGCTAAATTGGTGCCTTCAACATCAAAACTAGACAATTGAGAATTGGCAAAATGTTCTTTTTCCGGATGAGACCAGAAGTGGCCTAAGATCAGATTACCATCGAATTTGAGTTCTCAGAGCTCCAGGAAGACGAGCGAGATTCCAGGCTGCCAAATCTGTACCAAGAAATAAAGGAGGAACTGTAATATCCTGGGGAGGTATTATGCTGGGAGCAAAAACTCCATTGTTACCACTTCAACAAGCTTTAACGGGTCGGGTCTATGTTGAACTAGTGCTAGAACCAATCATTAGGCTTTGGAGAGCTGCAATTTGGAATAAATTTAACTTTATAGGCATACCGGCCTAGTGGCTAGAACGTCTTGAAACCGAAGGTGTCATAGTTTTGAAGTGGCCTGCATGTTTACCAGATCTACACCCTATCGAACACTTGTGGGACCATCTCATCGAAATAACCCAGGAAATATCTTACAGCTTATTGATGCAACATTAGCAGAATTGGAAAACATGCCCCAAGATAACGTTGATCATTTAATAAGAACCATGCTAGCGCGGATAGAAGCTTGCATAAGGGCTAGAGGTGGCAACACGGATTGTTAAAATTATCAATTTTCTTTTTGTTTTTGCTTTTTTATCGTTAAAAATGTAAATCTCATTTCGTTTCAGTATCGAAAAAATGACATTGTGTTTATTTTGAGAACTAATTTTTTTTTTATTGCTATATGGATTACTTTTCATTAAAAGTCTTTGGTAAGGACTGAGTTTTATTCATAAACACAAAATGTTCATTCGTCTCAAAAATTATGAAAAATAATAGATGCTTTTCCATATAAGTTTGATTGTGATTGGAGAGGCAAAACGTCCTCTACATGTACGACTTGACAAACATAAAAGTGGTGAAACAATGAAGTCAGGCATTGCAGATCATGTGTGGTCCAAGCATCACAACATGAAATGGTTGGAAGTTCGGGTTGTCCACAAAGAACCCCATTGGAAACAGAGCAAATTTAAAGAGGCCGTACTCATTGCTTTGAAATTTCAATAATATGGCAACCACTCATAGCTCCAATGCAGGTATAAATAACTTTTGATAAAAATCTGGCCTTTTCAAGAGCCAGCTATGTTCATATCGTTATTTTTAATTTTACCCCATTCATTCTATTAATTAGTTATCTCATAGCCGTTTCCTGTGATGTTATTCAAGTTCTCTAATGTTAAAGGTGAAACTTGTACTTACGAATATCAGAAACTTGCCCTAATACCTTTAACATTTCGGGTATAAAGTAATAACGGATTTTCATATGAAATTTCAAACCGCATTTAAAGCTAAAGGCTTAATAATGTGGCTTGTTGGATTTAATAAATTTTAATTAAATCTAACTGAGTTTAATGGTATATGTTTAACTGGGAATTCATAAAATTCTGGAAATATTTGATAATTGTAATTTGAAGAATTTTCTTTTATTAATATTGGCATGAATGGTAAAAAGATGGTTAAATATTATAAACGAATGGATTCATTATACAGTATGTCTCCCCGGATTGTCTTTACAAGAGGAAAAACTTTTTTATTACTGACATTTTGCGAAAAATGTATTGTTCATAAAAAAATTTGCTAGTTCTAAAATATTTATATCCGTTAATACCGGGTGCGTCTGAAAAGTAGCTCACCCCTATAACTTTTTGATTGACGTATT